CATATGCAAAGAGAAGTTGAGTTTCGAGCTTAATTCAATTTCTAGTGAAAGCATTTGACGAAGAGATTCGAAGGACGATCCCACCAGAAGATGAAGGCGGATTCCTCTTGACCGGTTGTCGATTGGATTTACTAGAACATCTTTGTTGACACTGTTTCCGAGAAAATCTCCAATGATTCCGGTGAAAACGTTAATAAGCTTGATTATATCTGTAAGGATGATTCCCTGCTCTGATGAAGTCCGTCATACGACGGACGAAAGCTTAGCACGTTTTCACCGGAATCGAAGGAGGTTGCCTCGAAAATAACGTCAGCAAGAACGTTCTAGTAAAGTCGATCGACAGCTCGTCTTCTGGTGGGATTCGACCTTCTAATCGCTTCACCAAACACTTTCACTCGAAATGGAATTAAACTCAATTTCAGTTCTAGCAGACCGGCTCACATGACCATTCTGTGAAGACTACTTATATTGAAAATAAGTAACTTGGTCGATTTCAATGGTAAACACCAATTTGCTTAGTGTTACTTCGGCTTCGCTCTCGCAACTTCGTCGGAGCATCGGGGAGACTTTGTGGAATGCACTTATTCCTGTGTCGTCTGTCATAGATTTCGTGATTTCCAGCATCAGATATTTAATTTGACACATTTCCAAACGTTTCGACGGCATCGTAGTCGGCATCGTCAGTAAGCACAGAATTACCACTTATCAAAGTGACAAGTTCAATTTACATAATTCACAATGGATCAGATCTGGGTAAGGCTGAAACTGCAGTTCATTCAAATCTGGACAATAGATCCCTTTGGGAGGTAGTCCTAACTGAAATTCATTTGCATCATAAAGCCTACTTATCTATCTGATTGAAGGTGAAAAAACTCACTTATAATTCCCTAACTCAACTTAAACGACTTAACGTGAGGAAATTCTTATTTTAGACTTAATGATAATTGCGAAAATTTGACATATCAAAAATTCTGGAGAGCATGAGCATGTTTGTTGACAAAGTGCTGCTCAACACGTTGAGACCAGATTTCGCTGGAAAGATTGAATAAGATTGCATGGCTTTGCGGGTTCTCTACTCATTTCTTTATGGGAAGAATCTAACATGGTTCCTACATCGCATAAAGATATATAAGATGTCTCGGGCTCATGTGTTTGTTTGCGTGTGTGAATGTGATTTCGGGGACTGGTACTTAAGTTCCTGGGTCTTATTAAAGAAGATGCTCATTTAGACATGATGAACAATTGTGTATCACATTTTGATTATCTTGGCAGAGAATAAGAAGCACAACTGAATTGTAGAGCCTGCAGCAACTAGCTTCAAGTATCATTAAAAGTAGTAGTTTCTTTTGTTGAGCTCATCTTCATTTCGATGGAAAGTACTTGATAAAGAGATTCGAAGGTCAAGCCGGCTGTCAGTTTGATTTTACGGAAAAAAAACCTGTGACGCTGTCTCCGGGACAATATCTTTCGATTCCGCCGAAAATGTGCTGAACTTTCGTCCATCATATGAATGACCTCATTGGAGCAGGGTATCATTCTTAAAACCATGTTCGACCTAATGGGTCAGGCAAACTCACAGTCTTATATGCGAAGAAAAGTTGGGTTTCGAGGAATCTCTTGTTTCATAATTGTTGTGCTTACTTCCATTTAAGATGAAATTGTTTGGTGAAGGGATCCAGAAGACAACGGCGGATTCCTCTTGACCAGCTGTCGATTGGCTTTGCTGGAACATTCATGCTGACGCTGTTTCCGAGGCAATCTCCTACGATTCCAGTGAAAAGGTGCCAAGCATTCGTCCGTCATTTAGAGCATATATACCACTTTTTAGGGATTCGCCGGTGAGTTTTCTTGACTGGTTGCGACGATGTTACCTCGCTCTGATGATGTCCGTCATGTGACGAACGAAAGCTTAGCACCTTTTCACCGGAATCGAAGGAGATCGCCTCGGAAACAGCCAATCGACAGCTGGTCGAGAGGAATTCGTTGCTGGTCGTCTTCTGGTGGAACCGACCTTCGAATCTCGTCACCAAACGCTTTCATCTGAAATGGAAGTAAGCTCAACGACTGTAGATTTGTCTTGTCAGAGGGCTTGAACCTGTCACGTGAGCATGCGATCCTCGTTCAGGCCTTCTGGATCGAGGCGGTTGCATGCGCCCATGCAGGGCCAGTTGGGTGCTATGGCAACCGGGGCACTCTGCCTCGGAGCCGTCTGTAGGGACTAGCCAATGAGAGGTGATCTGTTCGAGCCCGCCGGAAGACAGTTTCGCCCCTCTTCCCGGAGGTTGTACACATCCCCACACTGGCCGGTTGCGTCATCGACGTGTATGCTTGTGGGTTAGAGGATGAGGCACAGGCGGGCCAGGCATGCGGCTGGTAAGTGGCAAATAACGACACCTACACACACACACACACACACACACACAAGTTCTTTTGACACGGGTCCACCCTGGCCTGGTTACAAGACCGTCTGTTTCGCCATGGTTTATTTATTGGTTCACTTCCTCACAGGTTGGTGATAAATTAGGTGCCTGGCCTAATGGATTTAGTATCTACAGCTCGCAACGTCAGGGTGTTGCTACACTCTTTCGGGATGACAGAAATCGGCCAAGAGGGACGGCCGAAGTTTATGCATCACTCCCTACTGTCTGCGCACGTGAGTGCGTTCATCTGTCGGATCCATGTAGAGTTGTCTCTGTCGGAACGACGGATGGTGCATGCTGTGTGCTGGAGACGGCCGCACGCCTACACTCACGGACATTCCGGTATTACATGTGAATAGGCACGCACGAATTGGCGCATACTCTGAAATGGCAGAGGGCCAGGATGAGAGGGGTCTTCATGAAAAGGTAAGCAAAGTATTTGCCGTGCAACAGGTAGGGCAGATGATAAATCAGTGCAAAACGATATCACTTCTCATGACAACGGTGGCTCACGGTTGTCCTCTTTTCGTGGGTTCTGTCTTGGCTATTCGAGAACGTAGATGCAAGTGTGCGTGCCCACATGCGCGTCCGTTGGAGTGGGCAATTTGCGGGAACAATAGCAATCAGGTGGCATGGTCATGTCTTGCTTAATACACCTCTCGTCATGCCAAATGTTAAGATATACAACTGTATGTATGTGTGTGTGTGTGTCGGTGTGCATGTGAGTGTGCATTTGCGTGCCTGAGTGTGTTGTAAGTGTGATTTGGGAAGTTGGGATCTAAATTGCTGAGGCATAATTAAACATGATGAAAAATTGTGTAATCCACTGCATCTAGTTTGACAGAAAATAAAAGACACAACTTAATTGTAAGGCTTGCAGCAACCGGAGTTGAACATCCGCGAAATCATATGTTTCATTTGTTGTTGTTTGGCCTCGCTAAGGGAGATGGGGCTCAAAAATGGCAAACTCGGTCAAGTTTATTTTTCGAACTACTACCAGTAAATCAGTAGTATGAGATGTATTCACCCAAATTCGTTTAAGGTGATGAAGGACTGGTAGAAGAAGAATTTTCCCACAATGTTATGGGTTGAGCTGAAGTTTCCATTCAATTTCACATAGCCTTGCTTTCACAAAAGTTGTTCTCATCTTGGGTGGACTTACTTAATTCGAAAAATAAAGTATAGTAGTCGATTGTGATAGCAAATATACGTTTGCTTCATCACCTGCACTGTCGCGGTTCGACTCCCGCTGAGGGTGTTGATAAGACCGATGCGAGGTGGAATCGGCAGTCCTCTGGGGCCTGGATGAGAACAACTTTTGGAAAAGCAAGACTATGTGAAATTGAATGGAAACGTCAGTTCACTTGTGGGAAAATTCTTCTTCCACCGGTCCTTCATCACCTTAAACGAAATTGGGTAAATACATCTCATATTTCCATCAAGTTATACAAGATAGTTTCATATATGACCCATCCTTCGCCTCATTGTACGGAAATGGCAATGCTTGGAGCCTCTCAGATGGTCTTGGATAAAAATGTTAGTCAGTTTACGTCTCTTGTGCGTGGGGCGGGGATGTGATGACAGAAAGCTAAATTTTCCATAATTAATTGCCAATAAATTTAGCTGAGCTTTTCCCCACAAAATGTTTTTTCACAAGCTCTTGTTCAAGAACTTCTAGTAGTTTCCAAGCCTATCGTCGTTTGCCATGACATCTACCATTCGGCCTCACAGGCAATTCGACAATACACTTGTGAGCTGGAAGATACCTGGACCTTGTTCAAATTCATATCTGCCCCGCGGCCAAGTGTCAGAGTTTTTGTTTGGGTTCGAATTCTGTTGGGCTACTGATTTGGCTCGGGCGAGTCGGAAACTGCTGTCCAGTCGGGATGGAAAAACCGTGTTTAAAGCAAGGTTGAGTGAAATTGGTTGAGGTTCACTGTTATCATGAGGTCTTCTTGTTGATTCAGGTACATCCGAATATCGGTTCTGGCCTAACTTTAAGCGACCTCTGAATTACTAAATTCTTTATCCTTCTCATTGTCGAAAGCATAGTCATCAGTCAACGCCAGGTCTGTGAACGAAATAATGCGTCTGAAAGTCAGTTTATAAAGATAACCTCATCAAAGATCTCTTGTCCAATATCACATCACTTTACTATGCTACATTCTAGTATGAACGCCGCTCCACCATTGTCTATTCGAGTATTGGGGAGATGATCCTTCTTACAGACTGCAAAGTTATCTGATTCTTTCGGCAAACTCGACCAAGTGGATGCACGGTCTTGCCCATACCGGCTGCTTCCTTGCATCTGGCCTCCAGCAGAGCTGAGACTGCAGTTTGCCACTGTTCCCATTGCCGGTTTACTTGAAACCTGCATTTTCAGGTCATGCCAATATGGGACAAATCTTTTGCAAATAACAAAATGGAACGGCGTTTTTGAGTTTAAACAAATCGTCATGCGAATAACAGAGTTCCACGTATACTTTCAAATTAATAGATAAGACAAAGTGGTACAACAAGTAGTATATTTGTTATATTTGAAAAGTTCATGCGTGTATGAA